CCAGAGAGGAGGGAGGGGGCAAACTATTTTCCAAAGCACCTGAAGGCCAGACAAGGAACAATGGATGGAAACTGATCCAGGAGAGATTCAACCTGGAAATGAGGAGGAATTTTTCTGACAGTGAGAACAATCAAGGGATGGAACAGAAGTTGCCTTTGGAAGTTCACTGGAGGCTTTCGAGAAGAGACTGGACTGCCATTTGTCAAAAATGGTGTAGGATCTCCTGCTGGGCAGGGGGTTGGACTAGATGACCTATAAGGTCCCTTCCAACTCTGTTAATCTAAAAACATTTTTTTTAAAATGTGGGGTGACCAAGACCTGCTCGCTCCGTTACGCGGTGCTAGGGATTCGAACCGCTGAACTGCCGACCTTTCTGATCGGCAAGCTCAGCGTTTTAGCCACTGAGCTACTGCGTCATTCAATCAGACATACCCAATTTCTGCAACCGTTCTTTGCTTCACTAAACGCCGGGGAACTTTGCCCGTTTTGTTCGGCAGGTGAAGCACCCAACCGCTTCGCACACAAATAAATGTGCAATAGGCAAATGTGCAGATAATACAACATTGTTCCTTCTCTGAAAGTCTTTGTGTGCCTCCGGCTCCACGAAGAAGTAGAAGCTTTTGGGAACAACAATAGCTTTATTTGTCGAACAATTTCTGAGGCAACAAGCCCTTTGTCTGATCATAGGAAAATTGCACGAGTTTTGACTCTGCAGACTCCAAAGAGCAATAGAAACCGCTGTACTTGCCCAAAAAATACACATTTTGGAATTGTTTGAGAAATCAGGTTCTTAGGCCAAGATCTTGGAATGCCTTTGTCCTTAATAATCCTCAACTTAAAAGGGATTTTTTGACTGCTGTTTTTCACTCTTATGACCGCTGCCACATTCCCCGCGATCACGAGATCAAAAATCGGACGCTGGGCAACTGGTTCATATTTATGACGGTCGCAGTGTCTGGGTGAGGTGGTGATGATCCCCTTTTGCGACCGTCTGACAAGCAAAGTCAATGGGGATCCCGGAGTTGCTTAACAACTGTGTTAGTAACACAGTGCATTAAACTTGCTACGGTGGCCCAGAGGTGGAATTCTTGCTTCGCAATCCGGAGGCTGTGAGTTTGATTCTAGGTAGAGGCAGATCTCTCTCTCTCTCTCTCTGGGCACACTGAGAATAGATCTGTTGAACAAAACTCCGCATTGGTGACAGGAAGGGTATCTGGCCAGTAAATACTCAGCTGCATTTGATTGTCCAGACTCTTCCCGGTAAGGGATTAGGGATTTTATTATTATTTTATTAATCGACATTTTATTATATAGTCTCCCTGCTTGATGCGACTTTGAGTTCGAATCCTGATCAGGATCAGTAAACAGTGACAGAGTTGGAAGGGACCTTGGAGGTCATCTAGTCTAACCCCCTGCTCAGGCAGGAGACCCGTACTGGGGATTTGAACCACCGACCTTTCTGATCGACAATCTCAGTGTTTTAACCACTGACCAATGCATAAATAAATCAACACTTTATGTGTTAAGCTTATGAATAATAAAATGATTTTTATGTACCCCAGGCAAAAAAATCAACTACTGAAGGAGTTCCGTGTTGGATGCAAGCTGAAGGGGAGGGGCTAAACGAGTGGGCGGAGTCAGAACTACTGCGGATGCAGTTCCTCAACTTTTTTAAAAATCTTTTTTTTTTTGCTTCGGGGAACTGGCTCCTCCCCTTTGTCTTCCCTCTCTTTGCGCATGCTTGATTCTCATGGAGTGCATCTTCCACTGAATTCAAGACACTTGCGGGTTGATTTAACAGATTAACAGAGTTGGAAGGGACCTTAAAGGTCATCTAGTCCAACCCAAGCAGAAGACCCTACCTCTACCTAGGATCGAACTCACAACCTCCTGATTGTGAGGCGACAACTGTGCACAACTGTGTAATATTCTTTTAATCCGTTTAAAATTTTATTTTCTTCCCCTTTGAAAAGAGGAAGGCGGGTTCCACCCCCTCCGCCTGCCTTTCCCAATCATAGAGCAATGCTGCCATCTCGTGGCGAAGGAAAAGTGGTGCACTTGAACTTCTTTTTTCGTTTCTTCGTTGCTTAAGTTTTATTCGTGAACCAGACCCCCCCCCCCCGAGTCGGATTCACACGATCTTGGTCGCCTAGCGAGTGATTCACGTGTGCTTGGGGTTTTGCACCGTGCATGAAGCTGTGCTACTAACCCGCGTAGAAGGCTAGGGCTCCAAGCAAAGGAATTTTATTATTCATTTATTAATCGACATTTTATTACATAGTCTCGCAAGGGCTCCTGTTTGATGCGGTTGTGAGTTCGAATCCTCTTCATTTCCAAGTCATTAATAAATGTTTTATGTGTTAACTTTAGGAATGATAAAATAACTTTTTTAAAGTATGTCCTGGGACAGCGCTCCCCCCCGCCCAAAAAAAATCCTGACTAGCAAGTAGTCAAGATTGCAGATAGAAATTCAACTGCTCAAGCAGGGGAAGAATTCCCTGTTGAATACAAGCCAAAGGGGAGGGCCTAAGCGAGTGGGCGGAGCCAGAATGACTACGATGGAGTTCATTGGCCAAACTCCGTGACATTTAAAAAAAATTCCCGCCCATTTGTGTCACCTGGCTCCTCCCCATCTGCGCGTGCGTGCCCCCTCTCCAGTCTGCGCACGCGTCTCGTTTTAAGCCTCCCAAACAAGAACCGGCTCTCTCTCCCCCTGCCTCTCCCTTAACGCAGGCGCTCTGGGGCCTTTCCGCCCCGCCTTCGCGCTTTCCTCTAAAAAAAAAAAAAATCCAAACCGCGAAACCACTTCCCCGATCTCCTCGTCCCTCCCGGATTGGCCCATTCCGCTGCCGCATCCCGCCCTCGCTGCGCCGACTTTTGTTTCTCGTCGCCCGCCCTCCTCCCCTTTTCAAGGAGGGGGGATATTTGGCAGAGAGAAAGAGAGAGACTGGGCCGGCCTGCCTCCCTCCGGGCCCCGCCCCTCGCGAAGTGGGCGGGGACTCCCAGCGGAAAGGCCCGCCGCCATCTTGGATCGCGGGTGCCTGTGAGGGAAGAGGAGGGGCGGCGGCGACGAAAGAGGGAAGAAGGAGAAGGAGGAGGAGGAGAAAGAGACCCCGCCGCCGCCCGTCGCCCCCTTTGCGCCTTCCGCGGCTCCTGCCCGGGGACGAAACGCTGCTGTGGCCGCCGCTGCCTCCCCAGCCAAGCTGCCCAGTCACCAGCCCCTCGAGCCCAGGTAAATCCGGGCGGCCTAAAGTCAGGCCTTCCGCTCCCCCCCCCGGGCCTATCCCCGCGGGTTGCCTAGCAACGGCCCCTCCTCCCCCTCCCGCCGAGGGAAAGGAAGCGCCCGCGGGCGCCAGGCCAGGAGGAGGAGAGGGGGGGTGAATGGCGACCAGGACGCCCATCGTTCCCAGCCCGCGGCTCTATGGCAGCCCAGCCGCCATCTGCGCCTCCCATCATCCCCAGCCGTTGAAAGGGACGCGCACACCCAGAGACTTCCCGTTCCTGCCTGTCCATGGCTCTGGGAGAGCCTGTCATTCCTCTGCCCCCTCCCTCCCAATTCCATCATTCCCAGGCCTTGCTTTCTGCCCCAGACCCCCATGGGCCTGATGGGGGGTGGGATCCTGGTGCTAGGGGTAGCCAGGCCTTAGAGGAGCTGGGATCTTTGGGCATAGATGTAGGGTGTTGGAGGAGGATTTCTGGCTGGCTTCCTTCATCTCTCTTTCCTTCCTTCTTTCCATATCCATCCCTTTCTCATTCCTCCTTTCCTTCCTTCTTTCCATATCCCTTTCTCCTTCCTTTTTTCTTTCCTTCTATATCAATCCATCCATCCCTTCCTTCTTTCCATATCCATCCCTTTCTCCTTCCTTTTTTCTTTCCTTCTATATCAATCCATCCATCCCTTCCTTCTTTCCATATCCATCCCTTTCTCCTTCCTTTTTTCTTTCCTTCTATATCAATCCATCCATCCCTTCCTTCTTTCCATAT